AGCTGACCACGGCGAGAGGGAATCAGATACATTTATTAGTGAGTCTAGTGTGAATGACAAACGCGAATTTTATCACAAGCACATAATTGAGTAATGAGCCGGAAATGCGTTTGATCCCTGCACATACAATGGAAAATAGTAATACGCCATCCCAGGAAACAGCTACCACCGTATTATCTTAGCAATAGTCGCTTTACACAGTTTTACGGATTCGGAAGTCGGGTTACGAGTCATTTTCTGCAAGATAATATAGTCGGCCATGTACCACTTTCACAGTTTAAGCCATCAGTTGATGGATGTCAGAATGGAGACATGTAGTTGTGTATTTATTGTGAGATATTATCAATGTTGTATTTGTCTTTTACTAACGCTTATATATTACACAACCTTACTATTTAACAAGGCATGGGACTTGAGGAGTGTTTTGCTGTGCTGTTTCGATATGTATGTAATGGTGTTTGAAGCCATGGTACTGTGTATCAGTAGATATACTGTTTAGATTTACTTTGGTTTGCCGAGAATAACATTTTATTTCGAGCTCAGAAATGCCGACTGGTGTTTTGTTTCTATGTGACACGGTGCATAGGAGACCCCCCTTAGAGTTGTGATGGGATGTTTGTTTGTCGGGCGGTCGGACGACACTTAGGCCATGCTGGCTGTTCTACTCTTGGTAGACGACAAGGTTTATGGATGTACTATGGTATAATAGTTAGTTATATTTATGACACAAACATGGGCGTGTATAACCTGAGAATTATCTTTAATTAAGATTTACGTCCTACCATATATGACCAGTCATTGTTTTGTTTTTGTTTTTTGTTTTTTTGAGAAATTGAATGTGTAGTCTGTGGTTTTGATAGAATAGCTATGGGGTAGGTGGCGCCACTTATATAAATTGGTTAAAAGTTTTGTTTTTCTAGAGGGAGTGTGTTACACATGACATTTTTCAATGGTAACAAGTTGCATCGATGTGGGGACTTTGTGATTTGTTCCGCTATTGGGGCGATATTTCATTTAAAAAGCATGAACTTCTATGGCAGAAATCTGTCAAATTCAGTGATTCGTGTGACTTACCTAGTTAAAATTGACATCTGCGTAATACAGGTATGTTAATTTATAGGGAATCCACTTATTTTTTTAGTGGTTCATTAATTCAGCTGGGTTGAGACCTGGAGTTCTGCCAAAAATATTATAATCTGTTTTAAAAAAAGTTGTTAAATTAATAAATGTTACATAGATATATTCGTGTGATGAGACTTTTACGTGACTAATATTAACGATTTGTTCTTGTGTAGGAGTATAAGGGCGACTTTCCAGGCGCACCAGAGCACGATTTAAAGTCGTTGGCAAATGAATTTTTGAAACCGAAAAGTTCATGTTTTTAAACATCTACGATATTTCACAATTTACGTGGATACAAACATGTCACACTATTGTCCAACGTCACCAAAACCTCAAATTAATTTTAGAGTTGATATCAATATTTTGTTGCAAGAGAGATTTGTAATTGGATATCATTCAAAATTAGACAATTTATTTAAATATTGGGACAGTGTAACCGTGGGAGATCAACTCGTTTGGCAGACTACGGATTTGACTTCTCTTCGACACAGGAAGTTACTGGTCCCCACTACATAGTATACATTAGGGATTAATTGTCTAGCCCCTATGTACCAAACTTTGAAACTAATAATTTAATGAATATTTGTTATTGCTCATATTGTTCATTTCGTCATTGCAAAAAAATATAAGCCCATCGACATATTTGTTATTTATTTGAATAATGTTTGTATGTAAATAGGGCAAATATTCACAGCATATGTATAATATGAACCAGTGCGTACTATTATGACATTCACTTTGTTATGACCAAACTGATGATGCAATACACCAGTCTAATAATCGCGCCCTCTAGTAACGAAGTGTCACTGAGACGTAGAAATGACTCAGATTGGTGAACGTTTTATGATGTACTAGCACAACTTGTATTTACTCGTTTGTTTCTTGTAATATAATAGCAAGTCTCCGACAACGGGATAGTTTGAATAATGAACAACTACACATCAAAAATTAATTTGATTATCCATTTATATCATCACAACGTGACCCACCTTCCAGTCAACAAATAAATGCATATTTGGTAAATTGTTTTCATGATATTTATTCTAATGCTACTAGAAGTTATATTTTACAATGAATAAAGTCTATACGAGTCCAATGCAATAATTATTATTCAAAAACTATGTCGATGTGATAACGGTAAAAAACTCGAATCTGGTCGTGAATTCCATGTTAAACTAGTATGCCTCTCAATATCAAGCTTTGTACACCTGGCAAATGAAAGAAGTAAATAGCTGTTAGAAAAGGGAAGATGTTTTATTTGAAAATATATCGCTACGCAGAGCTCTCTCAATTCCATCTAAATAATGTTTCTAAGCGTGTTGTACATGCACTGATCCTCTGGAACTATAAGGTTAGGGTTCCGTCAATTATTATCGGGTTTGATCATAGCGGGACAAGCTTAAATTCAGCAATTGTAAAATATATTCCTATATATAAGTACCTGCTACGAGGGTTTGGAAACCTGCGTTGTAGTCACACGCCACCTCATTCTTAACGTAGTCTTTGCGGTTGTCCTTCCAACCATCTGAACAGTTTGGACCTCCTACCATAGCCCCGCGCAGTAGGTGATGATTCGGACCATCATAGTTGAAACTGTTGGAGTTAGTGCATCTCTCGGTGATCACGGGACAGGAGCTATATAGAAACACACGGTGGGAATGAATACATGTTTATTGTTATCAATTTCGTAGTGAATATATTGCTGTGGTTGTGACGTGACGTGAACGTGTTATTTATTTTGAATTAAAAACGTTCTTACAGCACATAACCGAACACCCGTTAATGCATTGCTCTAATAGGCATTCGCGCTAATTGTTTTGCTATGTACAATAGGAATCGTTACTGCACACTCGTATGAGTGATTTCATTTGTCATCGAACGGATACTGTCATAAGTGCTGCATAATTGTAATCGAATTTTCTCTTCAACATACAATATCAAACTAATTAAATATTAATTATATGCTCTTTTTCTTGCATCTGTAAGTGGTAGGGTTATTTGATCAGAAAGAGCGAAATCAGGTATCTTATAAACACCATCTTGGGAGGTGAATTTTACGAAGCATCAATGGTCTCAAGAGTAGGGTACATATGGAGGGGTTCATGTGAATGTTGAGAGCTCAGAGGCCTGCCACAGTCTCTGGGATATGGCACATTTGAAGAGGTTTATAGAAGGGACACAATGTTGTGGATAGAAGGAACATTTGAGAATTAAGTTTAAGGAGAGTTGTCAAACTGTCAGCTGGAGGGAAACTCTGATTTTAATTTTAAGTGGATAT